CATATTCCAAGTCCCATACATCCATGAGAGTTATAAATACATCGCTTGTCAAAAAAATCGAGTAAAACAAATAAACAAAGTGACGCATGTAATGCACATGAATACAAAACTTCACGAAAAATTGTTAATAGTTCAGTTAAAAAATAATTCCTGTTGGCATTTTTACGAACGAGATAATTGATTCGTTTCATCCCCTCATTTACCAAGTCAACTTAACCGCAGAAACTTTGGATGGAGAGAGAAAAAAAATCATTTTTTTCGCCGACTTGTTTGAGCAAACAAGTTTAGGAGAAGAAAGTTCCCATCGTGTGACCAAAGTTCCACTTCAATCAACAAATCCTGGAGTTGGCAAGTCAAATATAGCAAATCAAATGAAGGACAAACCAGAGGCGGTCGAATATCGGGGTATAAAGTGTTTGGTCAAGAGTTACAGATTGGTCGTAAGATATGCAAGGACGAGGTGGAAGGACGAAAGGAGTGCATAAACCGATGGATTTGATAACAAGCAGGGAGTAATTTATTCTGAGCACAAGGAGAACAAGACAAGTGAAAGGCGTTCTTTTTTCACACAAGTCAATTTATCGTACATGTTGGCTCACCCCTTTCCTGCTACTCACTGACTACTTATTCCAGGCCTTGTCAACACTACTCGTATATATTTTGGGAAAATGACCACTACTTATTTTTACTTCGTGACATGTGACATTACCTTTAATGCCCGGCAATGTATTTTTAAGTAAAACTGTATTACAGACAAGGGTAAACTGTATTCAGTCATTACAGGGTAAATTGCACAAATTTGAGGGTAAAAGGTGTCAATCTATTGCATAGATCATGTATATTTCTATTGATTCAAGTATCATTATCCTGCGCAAGTTATTTATTGCTCTCTAATTTAAATTTGTTGTTTGTTCTATTGACACGTGGTCTAGACGAGGAAAGATAAATAAACATGCCTTGTTTCATTTATGTTTGTATATTTTTATTCTAATTTTTAAAAGCATTTCCATTGTTCGGCACACAGTTGCAGTAAAAAAAAGTCCAAGATATGTACAAGCAAGTCCCATCCTGGCGTATAGTTGGTAGTGATGAAATAATATCGATCGCCAACTGCTGACTGTACCACAAGTGGAGGATTGGCCCCATGCCGTCCCTTCTCAAGTTTCTCGAGTCTTTAAACTTGGGGGAACAGAAACCAAATGGTTATAAAACCGTGGTAAATTCCGTCATATCAACGAATCAATGTCCCAAAATCCCAATCAGTTATCCGGAAATATATGGAGAGTAGGAAATGCAAAACCCAGCTGCCAGTGCCCATCACTCAAAAAATCAAACCTTGCTGACAAGAAAATCCCAACTATCTATTTTTAAATTACATTTTTATCCCATGATTATTCTGCTGTGGAAGCAAATACGTAGAAGTAAATACAAGTTCCAATTGGCAGTCCTTCTCCTTATTCATCGCACATTGGCCAGCTTGTTTGATTCACACATTGCATCACACATTCATAAATCTTGCCACAATCGAAGGAATGATTAGTCACGCATCAAAAGTGATGATAAACATTTGGAGTTTTTTTTTGCACTGCGTAGCATCGAAATCTGAGACGACGACTTTTTGATTGATTGAGATCAGTCATTCGGTAATACCCCGTCGCCATGCACCATCAGTTTGTCTAAATTTATTCATTTATCAATTTTATTGCGTCTTTAGATTGCAGCATTCACTCTTATTTTTCAATATGCATGTCCATATTCAACCATGCAGCGAAATTATCCACAAGTACAAAAGGCGTTAGGACATGGTTTTGACGAATTCATACTTTAATTGCGGGATGGTTTTTAGTTGTAGAGATTTCTAACATTTTTTATGTGAAAGCCCATGTCTCAAACTATAGGTAAGCATATCTGGCTCCCGATTTTGTGTACTCTACGAAATGAGGCAAGGTTAAATTTGGAGAGGTGTCCTTTTTTAGTTTTCCAAACCAGTGTTCTTATAAAATGGCGTTGAACAAAATATTGTTTTCTGAGGTCCTGGTGCAAAAATCGTCTTTGCGACTATTATCAAGGGACTTAGCATGCTTTTCACTATATAAAACCACTTTTGTATCATGCTTATCTTTTAAGTCCCTTTTGTAGTCTAGCTTCCTACTTGTCCTAATGGAATGCTCTCGTGAACGCATCTCCTCGACTTTTAAGGCCCCCACATTTTAGGACTTTGATGCTAAAAATCCCTAACGTGGTTTTTATCCAAGGTACATATAGTATATTGCACTGTAAGTACTTTTGATAAAATTCTGATAAGTGGTTACACCCCAGGAAATGGGATTCCATCAAACCCTATAAATTTTTTACAAAAGTTCTCCTCAAAATTGAAGCGGAACTTTAAATTTTTTTTAACTAATCAAAACACAGTAATTTTATTATTTTGTCACTTGTACCTTGTAGGTAAAATAGTTCTTCAGCAGGAGACACAAAAAAGTTATTAAAATTTGTTTCCAACAAAATTTGACCATTAATTTCCCAAATTAGTTCACGAGTTTTTTATGATTCCCCGTCAGCTGATTAGCTAGGGTCCTTCTTCAAAACTGTTTACCCAAAATCTTCACTGCTTAATTTAATATTACTTAGGACACTTTGAGCTTTGCCCTCAATCTTCATTTGACCCAGTCGGTCCGTTTTCAAGGTCAGCAGGTCAATTTCCCGGTGCACGGTCCGATTGATCACTTTTCATGGAAAAGTATCAGCGACGATGGAGGCCTAACGTTATGTAATTCATTGTGGATTCTTTTATTATTTCATGTAATGATTATCTAGGGTTGTAATATTAACAATTATTCATCTCTGACCTCTTAGGTTATCATGCTATATGAGTAATTCAGTTTGGAAAGTGTTTTTTTGGCTCCTTCCAACTCTGGGGGCACTGGAGGGGGCATTTATAAAGCTATCGGCCTAAAATTTTAAATATATCTTTTTGAGAGTATTATCTTGCAACTGACCAAAAATCAGTTCAAAATTCAACTCCTCGCCAGAGATATTCACCCGCGAATTCGTCAAAACCATGTCCTAACGCCTTTTGTACTTTTTAATCATTATTTTATTATGTCATGATAAACGTCTTGGCATATTTACTTGATGATTCAGTTCAATGTTATGCAACCATGTAAAACTTTGTTGGGACAAACGATAAATCACAATGTCTGAAAAGTTAGAACTTAAAATACAACAAACAAGCCGGTTTGTAACAAATGAATACCTTTCATTTGATTTCATAGACAATTACTTAGATATTATTAATAGTTGTACTTAAGGTATTAATAAACAAGTAGACAGTATAGAATGAAGAGTATTATGCATCAACTTATTTATTGCTTGACTGTCAATAAGTCATACAATATTTTGAACCTGTCCTGCGCATCTATTCCACGGGGAGCCAAAGGGAAGTAAGTACTTAATCAAATAAAAACATTTCAAGTGCTTTCTTGCAAGCGAGGAGGAAATGTTGAAACTTAATCAACCCTCCTCCCTCACCCAGCACTTTAGTTTAGGAGAACTTGTGACTGACACACTCACAGATTTTTTGTATACAAGGTGAGTGTATGAAAAGTAACGGAGGATTTTATTCCATGTTCGCCCACCACACCCCTCAAAGAGGAACCCCATGCTAAATTGCTCGCATAAAAAATTAACAAAAAATAAAATTTGCTCTGATTTTTATAATTTTCGTATTTGCGTTATCCTAAATATGTAGTTGTTTTATCGTATCATTAATCATTACGCTCAATTTTTTAAGCAGGTTATTTTTTGTGCTTTTCGCCACTTTGACGGGGGGTAGCGGGGCGCTAATGAGGGTTTGGAGTAAAACCCTACTTCACGTTCCTTACACTCACTATGTAGCTGTAAGGCAAGCATCAAAATTTGTGAGTCTGTCAGTCAGTTGTCCTCCTTATTATGGTGACGACTTTTTTGTAGTTTTTACAGTCACCATAAGTTCCAGACAAAAATTGGAGTTAAAGAAATGGGATGTTCACCTACATATATTTTTATTAACAGGTGAAAAACAAGGATGGAGATGATTGTGACATGTCGAGCTTGTTAATGCAGTTGCCCATGTTTATGTATGTAAAAGGTGGGTGCGATATGAAAAAGCTTCCCCGGTTTCTTTCACTCCGATGACGATGGGATGCACATACCTTTCCATGCATGTCGTTGGGCATATACATATGAATCTAATTCAATTCCAGTGTTTGGTTTTAGTTGGAGGAATCGAGTGTTCCCTGGAGGGTCTCCCTTTTTGCTGTCACTACGACGTGGGAAGATTAAACGATACTGTCAACTTTAATTAAAAGTCATGCTGAGTGACTTCACTTGACTTCCTTTCACTTTTCTGACTTTTGGTTTTCCTGCTACCTTGCTTTCAGCCCCTCCGTTGTCCGCTACTTCCCAGTTATGTTATGATTAGGGAGGTGCACAGCCATGATGCCGTCGTACTTCCGTCGAGCGATTTTAACCCAAATTCAATTTCACCCAATAATGAGTGTGCAGCAAGGGAAGGGCTTTTATATCACACTCTCCTCGTCAAATGAACAGGATGCAATGTCTCAATTCCGTCCCATTTAATTGAATTGTGCCAGCACAGTCTACTTGTAATGCAATAATTGGATTTTCCACGAGAAAGATTAGATTTTGTACCACTTTATGACATTTCCCCTTTAAGGCTGAGGGTAAACGATGGCTGATGCACTTTTCTGAAATTCCGTCACTTGAACTTCCATGCATTTTTTTCATTCCATCTCATCTCATCTTCAATTTGATCATTGTAATAAAACGATGGGGAATAGTGCTCACTCTGATTTAGGCAGTGAAAATAAGCGTAAATGCAAATGAGATTTTGCAAGTTTACATTTACAACGTCCACAACTCTCGTCATCAAACCTTTGGATAACTTATCTCAGTTCTGATGGTGTGCATGCGTAGAGAGTAATAATAATAATGATTACCTTTTTCCTAGATTTTTTCTCCGATGATGTCACGATGAGTAGGACTTTTTTCTCCTGGAGCGTACAGCGTAACCGTCCGATTACAGAGCAGGTGGGGCTGTTCAAAACAGTTAATTGCTTTCTTAGGAATGAGAATATTCAACAAATGAATCCTTTAACTTTCAACGAATGACAGACAGGCAGTCAGCAAATGGAGTTAAAAGTGTTGGTAATGGACTTGCGATGGGATGGAAATATGCTCCACGACTGGTAGTTGGTTAGCAGTGATGCTGTCGTTGTATGCACAGTCGGATCTGGAAACAAAAACACGAGAAGATTTGAATTAAAACTTTTGTTGCTTTTCATCGCCCATCAGCATCATTTTAGATGGATGACTTCATAGTTTTCTCCACGAACACTCTGTTATCACTCTTCATTAAGATTCAATTCTTTTGTAATTTTCTGCGGACATCCTTCAATAATGAAGAAATCATGGGACGAGCGAGTGAACCAATGCCAACAACTTTGTGGCGATCAACGAACAATCGTGTGTTTTTAGTGTTTTAGTGTTTTTAGTGTCAGCCTTATACGATCTGTTTAACTCGTGAAAAGGACTCCTTTACTCATCCTCGTCCTTCTCCTCCTCCTCCGTCTTTCTTGAAGGAGTAAGTGCAATAGTTCAGCTTTGGGGCTACTATGCAATAATAATGGCTCATCAGTAATGGGCTCAATGGCGAACACATAATGGCCCTTATGGGCAAAAAACTAATTTTCTTTCTACATAAAGTTCAGTAACATCAGGTAGTCATCGTCGGTACAATTGGTACAAAAACTTCATTTCAACCAGTGCAGTGTTGGTTGGTTGGTTGGTATGCATACTGATATTATGAAGTACAGTAATAGCCTGGCATGCATAGGATACCCGATGGTGCATGTAAATAGGGTGTTTTCAGTAGAACTCCATATTTGGAAGGGATAAATTGCCGTCGTCATCTGCAGAGAGGGGATTTCAGATTGAGAGACTGGAATGCGTGTTGACCAGAGTTGCCGATTATTAAGAACAACTGCGAGCACATTTCAAGCATTCTCCAAACTAGTTCCTAACTCTGCTTAATTAAAGAGATGTGTTTTCAGAAATTAAAGTGCTTAAGATTATGTAGGCGACCAGATATTGTGTGCCTTTTGTGTAATATTACAATATTATGTAATCCATCCGATTTGTTAGTCCTTGGTAATTGATTATCCATTGAATCATCCCCATTCATGAGGATCTCTGTCGTCTTTGAGACATCTCAGTTTTTTCAGGAAACGATATGTGGCATTTTGCCAACGTAAAGAGAGGAGTCGATAATAGAAGATGGTTCATTTTGTTAAGAAATTATTGGCTGCAACTCATGTCACACTCACGGATTCCTTTGTGCAGGAATCCTAAAATAAATTCTTTCCCATCACTTGTCAAACTTATTAAAAAGAACAAAAGTTTTTAGACTTTACTGTAAGCCGAGAAAAATAAGGTTGACATGATCTCCAACGGAAATGTTGCAAGACATGGAGCAACCAATGAAGAATAGTAATCGAGACAATAACAAATTCGAAAGCGTCATTGACATCAACATAAAGAGTTTTAGACAAAATGCAATGATAAAAATGGCTCAAATTTTGTACACTTGTCCGCTGCTACATAAGGAATGACATGCATATCTGAAGAAAATATACCTGGGTGTTGTACCGAGGAGCTGAAATGATTGGTCTGTGTATTCCCGAAGCACTGCTTGTGCATAAAATAAGTAAGTTGAGGATGGGTGCACTGAAGTTTATTAATAATAAAACTTTTCGACCAGCGTCGAATTGTTTTTCTTCTCGCATCCGATATTCCAAATTCTCATTCTCGTCATTTCCTTCACAAACTTCGTACTTCAAGATATGAAAACCACTGGAATAAAACTTTTCGAAATTGAACCGAGGTGAATCAAGCAAACTTTTACTGCAGTATTAATAATGAGAGTTCAAATGTAACCCGTGAACCGAGGTTACTTCAACTGACCTTGACCTTGACCAGTGGTTCAAGTTCACGTTCGTATAAATAATGTGAACGTGACCTCGGGGTTACTTGAACTGGATCACGTAACCCGAGATCACGGTTCGTCCGCGAAAATTGTATCAAATTATATTTTCTATAGTGAATTTTGCATCAATCCGCAACAAATGTAAGTTCCTGCTGATTTCATTTTTTCACATTTCATTTAATTAAATCTTTAATTTTTTTTAATATGGAAGTTATCAGTGATAGTAAAGGCGACTCAGATTGTGGGGGTGGAAAAGCCCCCGCAATGAGTGAACCCGAAAAACAAGTGCTACTCGATCTTGTCGCTGAGTTTAAATTAATATTAGAGGATAAGAGGACCGATTTTGGAACTACTTCAAAAAAATCAAAAGCATGGAGGAGTGTAGCAGATCGTTTCTGCAGCTCGCCTGGTACTACATACCGGACTGAAGAACAGCTAAAAACCTGGTGGTCGAATTGCAAAAAGAGAGCTAAAAAACAGGTAAAGAATTGTGTGCACGAAAATTGTAATCTATCATAAAAAATATGTATATTTCTGATCATCTTAGGTTGCAAACAACAAAAGATGTATTATCCAGACGGGTGGGGGAAAGGGGAAGAATAAGCTGAACGTGGAGATGGATCGAGTTATGGGAATCATTCCAGGCCAGATGAAGTCGTTGGAAAACTTGTTCGATGATGATGCTGAGATTGGTACGTGACCTAACTGCCCGAATTTGAAAATTATTTTATGTAATAAATTTTTAATATTATGAACTCGTTTTTCGTCAGTTGTCGACGAGGTTGAAACTATTGATTTACCGGAACACGAGAAAATTATTGCGTCACCTCCAAAGAAAAAAATTAAATCATTGGGTAAATAATTATTTAATTTGTTCAATTTTATTTAACACTTTTTAGCGAATAATTTAATAAAACTTCTTATAATTATTTGTTAATTTCAGAGCAAGAATCTCGGAAGCAAAAGGATGCTCGTTCATCGCTTACGGACATGGAATATGAAGAGCATCGTATGAGAATGAAAATTTTAGCGACGGAGTTAGAAACGGCTATCATTTTAAAAACAAAGGCAGAAGCTGAAACGAAACATTTGGAGGAGGCTAACAAACTAAAATTACAGTTATTGCATGCAAAAATTAGTGAATCTCGGGAAGAGCTCGGAAATATTAATTAACATTGTCGTTGAACTGATTGGTTTGTATGTATCTAATAAGTAAAGTGCGTAGTAATAATTTCTCTCAACTTAATTCTACCATTACGTCCAGCCTCAATATTTCCATCCGGAGCATGCTGATCTTCCTCATCGAAATTGTCCTCGTCAAAAATATCGTTGCGTCGTCTGAATAAAAAATCATTATTAAATTGCATAATGAGCAAATTTGATTATTTATCATTTATCCTACCTAGAGATGTTATGCATTACTGCCGTTGCGACAATTACAATTAGTACTGTCTTCATTTTAAGCCGCATAAACTTTAGGCAGGGAAATTTTCTTTTCCATATTCCAAACGCACGCTCAATTAGATTTCTTGTTTTAATTTGGGCTCGATTGTACTAAAATAATATTGATGTTACATAAATTAACGTGTAATCATTCTTAATTACACATACTCGTTTCTCGGGAACTGTTGTAGGTCGGAGTAATGGGGGCATTAGATAAGGCTTGCAACCGTACCCCGCATCACCAAGCAATATTCCTGGTACTGTACCATTTTCCAAATCCTGACACAATTTCGAATTCTCAAATATACGAGAATCGTGAGCGGATCCGTACCATCGAGCCACAAGATTCGTGAAAATCATCTGATGGTCACAAACCGCTTGAACATTCACAGAAAAAACTCGTTTCCGGTTGCGAAATAGTTCGGCATCCTCTCCTCCTGGTGATAAAATGGGGATGTGGGTCCCATCTATTGCTCCAACAACTCCTATACATAATTTTTAGATTAAAATATATTTCGTGGTCCTTGGCATACATCACAGTCAATTTTATACCTGGAAAACCTCTTGTCCCCGAGTTTGCATCATTTGCGATATTGTACATCGCAGTTCTCACCACTGGAGCCTCGGCAAATGTAGGGTATTTGATGAATTTTTTCCTCAGTTTGGCAATAGCAGTCGAAACTCTTTTTACTAAATTTGACACTGTAGGCTGAGAGACCTTGTAGTTGTCACCGGTGGTTAGTTGGAAGGATCCGTCACAAAAAAATCGTTGCACAATCAAAAATTGAATGTGTGGTGGGATGTGCGTCCCTCTCCTCAAAGGGGCGCAAAGATCACCTTTGATCAAGTCGACAATATATAACGCAGTGTCCTTAAAAATATGAAACCTTGTTTTAAATTGAACTGCGTCAAAGCATTCCATCGGATCTGATCGATCTCGAAGACGCGTGTGGGGGATCAGGGCTATTCGACGTCGTCGTCCAATCCTTCTCTCCAAGATCCGAAGCCGGTCAAAAGCAGTTCCAATTCTCCTATCCATCTATCAAAGTTTAGTAATCCAATTAAAATGCGATTTTTTTTCAATTTTCATCATGCATAAAAAACATTTACCTGGATCGTTTGTAAATACGCGACGAGTTCGACAATGTTTAAAATTTGGTTAATTTTGGTATTTTTTGGCAAATTCTATCAAGGTAACAATTTTTTGAACCTGCTCTTGACCTGGGTTGCAAAAAGTGAACCGGTTTATTGTGACCTCGCTCACTTTTTTCATTATTTATATGAAAATAAAAAGTAACCCGGGTTCAGATGATTTTTGACCGAGGTTCAATATAACCAAGGTTCATGGTTCAAAATTTTTCATTATTTATACGAAATGACCCGCGGGTCAAGGTCAAGTCACGCTGAACTCTCATTATTAATACTGCAGTTAATGTACGAAAGAATGGTTTGCATTCTATCATCCAGCAACCACTCATATTTTCGTTTCGCCAACTTGAATAAAAAATACTATGCAAGAAAGGCACTATACATACAGAGGAAATAATAGAATAAACTAGAAAAATTGTGATTTTTTTGTCAATGCACATTGCCAACTAACTCGATTACTACTAAAACTTAAGTGCCCGACACTATTTCACAGGAACCGACAGAAGCTATGGTGTTTATAAACGAAATGACGAACATGCCAGTTAAAAAAAAACTATGTTGCCATCGGCAAGGTGCGACGATGAGAGGCTGGAAAACATTGTACCTCGTAGATAGAAATGAAATTCATGTTGTTACAGACAGAGAAGAATCAATAACAATTACCGCCATGTCAAAAAATGTTATTCTAAAAAACATACTTTTGGCTGCTCACAAAAATAATAAAAAGAAGTCAGAGTTCACCTCAAGGTTTGGAATCCAAACGACATGGTTGCAACCATTGAACACCCAATTAAACTCTACCTGATAATCAAATTCGTCAGTCTGTAGAGTCATATTAAACAAAGAAATAAAAAAATTCTCCTGCAATCTATCTTAATGTCACTTTAACGTGGCATTGTATCACGTGTTTTTTGTTTGAATTGTTGTGTCTCAACTTTCCCTTCCTTTCTTCAATGAGGAAATATTTAAATATTTATATAAAAGTCCTGATTTCCTGATGATGATGCGAGTTCAGCATCGAAAGCTTGAATAAACTGCTTTAAAACCACACCCATGTATTCCGACGAAGCTTCCTCAAATTTAAATTTTATTGATTATTTTTCATCTATTTTATATTTATCTTCTTGTTGAAGAAAAAAATCAAAATTTTTATCTCCTAACTATGTAAGCCTAAAAATTACCGATTTTTAGGTGCATTAATATCTTCATATTGTTAAAAACGAAAGGCGGTGAACATTTTTCAAAATCGCCATTTGAATACATGGAGGAAGGGAAAGTTGAGACACAACAATTCAAACAAAAAAAACCGCATAAGCCAGCATGCTATTCCGCCTTAACGATGGAGGATGTGCATAGATTAGTGTGTGTGAAAGTGAGTTAAAGAAAGTATGTATCCGCCATATTGGAATGATTATGTATTCTCCGTCGTCAAATACAATCATGGAGTGATTAATATTTTATTTCGGCAGCATTCAGACTCTATCTCCTTCCAGTCAGTCTAGTTTTTGCATGATCTCTGAGATGCACAGTTTGTCTTGCTTAGGTTGAGATGGGAGAGCAACGTGGGAGGAATATTGATGTTTTCATGTTATTAATATATATATATCGGACCACAGAAGGGAGGAGGGGAACCCAAGAAGCGCAACCACGCTCTCCCACGTATTATCGAATACGTGCTGGATTGCTTCTCGCTGTCAGTTGTAAACTGCTCGAGTTGACGACAATCGTTATTCCAATTTGGTTTTGATAAGTCTATTCCAAGATAAAAATTTCGCTCTGTTCGTTTCGTGGCTACAAATCCCCTAAGATATACCTACTTGATATTCAATGTCATCCCTAAATTTCAAATTAATGACATTAAATAATGATTGGAGATCAGTTTAAAATGCAATAAATTAAACAAGTCTGCCTTGAAATATGAAATGTTATGCATCAACCAGCCCAACTACTTCACAGAAATTGTCATTCCGTAAAAATTACCATTGGAAAGATATTTCCAAATGGTGACGGGTGAAAAATGCGTCAATCAAAATAAACGACAAGGGAGTCTCTCAAAATCTTTATAACTTGAGAAGTGCACTATACGTTATTTCTGCCATCAGACGAATGTATGTAATAAGTGAGCTGAAGCATTTTTTATCGAAGGAGAAAGCAATAAGTGTAAGAACTCTGCTGAATGGAGTTGGTGGAGAAAAGAGAGGAAAAAAAGAAAGGGAGAAAAGTGAGCGAGAATAATGAGACACGATACAAAGAGAAACTAAAGAAATGGAAACGCATGTATTCGTCATCTGTTGTCGCGTATGACTAATAAATAGTTTCGTATATTGTCCCCGTGTAGGATTGAATTACGATTTGTAGCGTCTGGAAAGATGGCGATTAGTGAGAGTGACTTTTTGCATATTCTGATTCTTTCGTCATTGCTTGGCTCGTATTCTGCGGTCAACTTCCCCTTTTACTAACTCGCAAATGCAGTGCAAGAGGACTTCATTCCACCACAACAGGCTTTCACTCTTTCAAATTTCTGCAAATTGTGCCAAGACGACCACCAAGGTGCTAAGTGTAACTAGTCTTTTCTAAATTCATGTTCTAACCTAGTCCTACTAGAGACTTAACAAGTAATTCTATAAATGGCCTCGCTTCAAACTTGAAAAATTCATTGGATTCCCAATTTATATTCCATTATATTTTAAATTACAAACTGAAAAACTAATTACTGAATTTTGAGTAAGATTCCTACTCCGAGTGAATGTCTAAAGTGCTCGTAATGAAAATATTTTGAAAAAATAATGAGTTCCGCAATACGGTTTCCCTCCTTCCTCTGCCCACCCTCATGTGCAGCGGGGTTAAAAAAGGTACACAATGATCATAAAAGAAACCAAGTTCTTTTGATAACTCCGAACGGGAGCCAATAATAATACAATTTGCTATGCCCTCGAACCAATCCACTCGCTAATGGACATTGCACGTGACAGACGTGGAAAAATTGGAATCCAATACATGCACTACTTGTCCCCCTAACTGGCTCGTTCACCTTTCTCCAAATTCAGCCAACCAGCCAGTCCACGGGTAGTTAAATCCAAATTGAGGGAAGATTGAAGAAAGGCAACAAAAACTCTGCCACCCTCTGCGTTATGATGTTCTGATGCAAATGGACGTACACGTAATGGAGCTCGTTCATGCCAGCTTTCTCGTGAACACATACATAATTTTCCGGATATATTATTATACAATTTCTCTGTATAAAATATATTTCACCGAAAATAAAACTTTCCACCATCGAAGTCCGAACAATACGTGGATGTGGTTGTGAAAGGAAAGTGGGGCTGGACAGGGAGTGGATGTGAATGACATGACACAAGAGAGGAGAGGTGGACACGAAGAAAGCGAGGGTGATGGTGGCAGCAGGAGTGAAAGGCAGACGCACCTGGTTACATCCCAGCAGAAATCTGGGTGGCAAGATATTCGACGTTCGATTGGAGAGAGAAAGTGGGCTTCTGGGGAGCAGAGAGCTTTGAATGAGGAAAAATGAGGGGAGAGCAGATTACTTCCCAACTTGGAAATTCTGACAAAGAGAAAGCAAACGTGGCAGTCATTTCTCCTTCTCCGTAGAAATTTCTTACCAACCAACCACCGCAAATACGACTCCCAACTAATCTCCATCTCGAACTAAGCCCGAGATGTTTTTCTCCGTGGACAAGGTGCAGACTGTTGCTTGGATTTTCTAAAGTTTCTCCCAAACTGCTGAGCCAGCTGAGTCTGGACACAGTCCTTTTAATCTCCTTGATTCATAAACGTCCACTTTTATTGAACTTGTGAGCTAATCACTTCTTGCCCAAGTTTATTTTCACCTCAAAAGAAGAAAACTTTTTGATTAATGCAATATTGTTTTTATCCCTTTGCTGGTAATCACTTTATTTCGTTGTTGCTCAACTGGAACAGTGGGCGCAGTAGTTTTTCACGGATTTCAATATCCGGATAACTGCACTTTCTGCCAATCTAACAAGTCTAATCGTATTCCTGCTCCTGACCAACATTTCTTTTCTTTCGCTCAATACCTATTTGCGAGACAAGGAGATCTGGTAGTTATCGTCAACGAGGAAAAGTGGACACTTGGATATATGTGCGTACTTATACTTACGTATACTGCTCGTGCTGAGTAGAATGGAGCCCTGTCTCTGCAGCATAAATTTAAACTTCCTTTGTGAGCCCACCATTAAGCTCAGCAGCAAGATTTATATCCAGCATTTCGGAAGTCCCAAAGGAAATAATAATACGGCCTGAGAAAGCATTGTATAAATCATGGAAAATTGTCCCAATCATTCTTTCCAGAGAAAGTAACTAAAGAGAAGAAGGAGTGGTGGTGGAGTGGATGTATCGAGTACGTAGTTCCCAATTACAGGTCCCAGCCTACCTTTCCTCCAGTCAACAGTACATACAATTTAACTTTATCCTAATCTGATAGTATGTACGTGAAGCACTTAATACACACCACCGCCGTTAAACCAGTCATTACGATGTAAACATTTAACTCCACTAATTAACAGTAAATAACTGTAAAAAACGTGTTGTAATATTTTTTTAGTTTGCATGTGGAGATGGGTTTACCATTTTATCGTCAATTTGTTTAATTAATCAGCCATGTCCGATGCAATTTGCTTTTTTACGTCCTAAATTAATGGCTCAATAAGCAAGGTAAACTAAAGTGCAGCAGGTATACGAACCGGAGACACGATTCAATTAAACCCCTTCCATGCAGTGTTCATTTTTAGAAGGAAACGAGTGGACGAATTGACTTGATTGAGCTAATAAAACGGAGCCGGTTCTCAGGTTGCATGCAATTATCCCTCCTCCCCCAATCAGTTACACATACGTACTGCATTATAAATAATGGGAATCCATTGAGCAGGGTAAAGACGGTTGCT